GGGAGAGAGAACGCGCTGTGGTCCGGCTGCCTCCCCGGCGGCCAGCGGTGATCATCAAAACAGCGACTCTTGAGCAATGCAGGGGTTCGGGACAGCAGCCCCCAGCAATTGAAAATCCCTATATAGCTTTTTAAACAATGTTTTAATTGCCCAGCTGGCGTGGCCCAGCGATTGAGCATCGACCCATGATCCAGGAGGTCATGGTTTGATTCCCCGTCAGGGCCCATGCCCGGGTTGCAGGCTCCATCCCCAGTGTGGGGCGCCCAGGAGGCAACCAATGAACGATCCTCCCTCATCATTGACGTTTCTAACTCTTTCTCCCTCTCCCTTCCTCTCCAAAATCAATAAAAAAAGACCTTTTAAAATAAATAAATAAATAATATTTTTATTGATTTTTAGAGATAGAGGAAGAGAAACATGGATGTGAGAGCAGAACATCAATGGACTGCGTCCTGCACGCCCCCTACCCAGGAATCAAGGCCGAAACCCAGGCATGTGCCCTGACCAGGAATTGAACCAGCAACCTATGGTGCACGGGATGACGCCCGATCAACTGAACCACACCTGCCGGGGCTCCCATATAGCCTTTGACTCCCCCAAAACGCCAGTGACCCCTCGGTACCGACGGGGGATTGCTCCCGGGACCCTCCCCTCACTGATACCAACCTTCACGGATGCTCAAGTCACCGCATAAAACACTGCAGATCAATGCATCCCAACCATGGCTCCAAACAGTACAAGTGTTATCGGGGGAAAAATTGCATGTAAGGGGGCCCATGCAGTTCAAACCCGTGTTGTTCAAGGGTCAATTCCATTTAACAACCAGCAAAATCGAGCACTAGCCAACCAGGGTGAAGCTCTGGGGGTCCGGAGAGAGGGGCTGGGGTGCTGGGAGGCCCTGTGGACTGGCCAGGGTTGCCAGGTTGAGCAAATAAAAACACACACCACCTAGTTAAGTTTAAATTTCTGACCAACATCAGGATGTTTTAGTATAAATATATCCTAGGTGATACTTAGAACATACGTTTACTTTAAAGTCTCTGTTGGTGCCCTGGCCGGGTGGCTCCGTTGGTTAGAGCATTGTCCCAGTGAGCCAAGGTTTTGGCTCAGTCCCTGGTCAGGACACATGTCAGAGTCAGCCAAAGACTGCATACGTGGGTGGAACAGTAGATCAATGTCTCTCTCTCTCTCTCTCTCTCTCTCTCTCTCTCGCTCTCTATCTCTCTCTCTCTCTCTCTCTCTCTCTCTCTCTCTCTCTCTCCCCCTCTCGCTCTCTCTCTCTCTCTCTGAAATCTGTAGGTTAAAAATTTAAAAATATATCTGTCGGTTATCTGAAATGCAGATTTTAACCATGTCCTGTATCTTCTCTGGCAGACTTAGCGCTGGGGCAGCAGCTATGGACCAGCCGGGAGCGGAGGGAATAGCATCTCCGTACCTGCTGCCTTCCAGTCCGCCTGGAAGCCGCCAGTGAAAGAGGAGCCGAGTGTCCTTCAGCCAGGCGGCTCCACGGCACAGCGCTTTGAAGCTGGACGCACAGTGTTTTCTAGGTGCAGATGAGACAGAGCGGAAAGGCGGGTAGGCCGAGTCCACACAAAGTGCAGCCGTCAGACCAGCCAGGCGTGCGGTCATGGCGCTGACCCTCTGACGTGGCCCGCTAGCGTGGACCCCCTCCCCCTCCCACACACACCTGATGTTTCAGTAAACTGTCACCTGTCTAGAGATGGGAGCTGTACAAGGAGGCTGTCCACAGGGACACGGGGCTTGAGCCCCTCTCTGTGGGACACAGCTGCAGGCGTGTGGCTGAGTGTTGGGGGCCAGATGTAAGCTGGCAATGTCCTTGCACCTGTAGGTGCCAGCGAAGCTGGGACCCTTACCCACACAGTTTTCCCAGACTCGTTTAGAATGGCGATTATCAGTAGAATGAGAGAAACATTTGTAGAATGAGAACAGCCTTTCATAGCTTACCAAGAAGTCTGTACCTATTTACTGAGATATGCTGCACTGAGAATTTGTCCTTCTGCTGTATCCCTCCCTTAGAGATTAAGAGGAACAAAGAATACATTCCTCTTGATAGACC